AGATTTAATATAATAGGCTGTATTTAAAAAAGAACGTGGTTTTTTTCAAAACCACGTTCTGTTGATTTCACTATATTTGAAAAAGTATTTGTTCATAGATTAAATGTTTTTTATCCCTGTGGTTTCATTTTTACGCACAGGACTTAAGAGCAGCATGTTATCGCGCCTCTATTTTGGAGCCTATTTTCCTCAGGGGGTCCCCTCAAGGACTAATAAACCCACACCATAGCCTACCTGTGCTCCTCTACGGTATTCCTCTTAGCTGTATCCCAGTCGGGCAGCGTGCTGGCACACAGCATGATCATAGAAACAATCACAAAAATGACGGAAACTGTGGCTAGAAGCTGCGCTGCCAGAGAAGAGTTGGGCTCCTCAAAGGTTTTGCGCATCCTCTCCAACCATTTGGCGCGCCCACTGAGCGCAATCCGTTGCACTGTATCCTCCGGACTCTGGCACTCATCCCCAGGTAGCATGACGTCCCCCTCTGACAGACTGTCCATCCCGATGTCGGACATCCTCTCATCCAGGCGCTTCTGGCAGCAGGAGTCCAGGTGTGCGCTCTCCAGCCCCCAGTAGAGCATCTCGGTGTAAAAGGAAAGCTCGCAGACTCCGGGGACGAACCGGAGTTTGCCGGAGCGCACGTATAGCATGATGAACACGAAAGCCTGCGCGTGGCGGTCAAAGAAGAACTCGTTCAGGTCTCTGTCATAGTCGTCGCACAGTTCCAGGACCTCTTTCTCGGTCGCGCAGGCATGTAAGCGGCTGACGCGCCGGAGAGGGAAATCCCTGATCACCTCACGGGTGAAGGCGTAACGGGTCCCCCCTACATTCAGCACACAGATGCTCTTTCCGAACTTCATTTTGGTAAGCCTAAAATCGACTAAAGTCCATTCTTCTTTCCATCACAGGAGTCAGGGCACCTGGGGGAGCGGACCGTCTCCCCTGCCCCCGGGGCGTGGCTCGCCTTTCCTGGAAGTGGTTCTATAGGTTTGATCCGTGTGTGGAGGAAACTATATCCCAACTGTCTCTCCCACTGTCCGCTCCTTCTGCCTCTAGTCTGGATAAAACACTCTCCACCCCACTCTGGGTGAGCCAGTCTTTTGCGTGATGTCATATGCGCGCACGCAGTGAGAAAGATAAACCATACAACAACATTTCTGCTGATAAATCCGGTTTACTTGGAAAGCTGCAAATGAATAACTCTTAGAAATAATTATAACTGATGTATAAATAAATTGTCTTTGATCCAACAGAGTTAAATGAATTCCAACATTTTTATTTTTTCAATTCAAGCATCCTGTTTGGTTATTTAATACATTAATAATCCAATTGTAAGGGTACGCAATAATAAACATGTTTAATATGTTTTATCTATAAATATTTATCTAATTTTTTAATGTATCCACCTACACCTTTTACATTTTTATTGGAAACTAACACATCTTAGTGGATAAATAAAAAATGACCTTAAAAACTGTAATTGATCCATAAAACCAAAATAGATTTTTCTGCATTTCTCAACTGCATTAAATAATAGTTTACCTAAAAGATTAGAAAATTGAAAGTGTTTAAATATAAGGGTATTAGTAAGGTGAAAAAAAAATCTGGGAGGAGCTTCCTGCAGGATTTTTGGATCACAGGTCAAATAGTCTGATAATGAGCCAGCCACCTGTCCTCTATTGTATAGACCATAACAAAATCCTAATTGTATTTGTTAGACTGTTTTTATTCTTTCCAAACCTTTGGTGAACCAGTTGATGTGCTTTAGATCATTGTCCTCAGAAGTAATTATAACCGAATGAAGCTTATGAACCAGTTGGCTGAACATTTTGCTTCACAATTCCCTAGAGAGAAGAATTCACCACCAATTATTGAGGGTCATCAAGCTCATTAAGCTGCAAATCTGCCCCAGACAATCTCACTACCACTAATGTGTTTCACTGTCAGTATAGTTTAGAATAGAATAGAATAGAATAAAACAAAACAGAATAGAATAGAAAATCCCTTTATTGTCCCATACTGGGGAAATTGTGGTGTTACGACAGCAAAAGGTTATAGCAGAAATGGTCAAACAATGTGGGCCTTAGAAAGTGTATAAAAATACTTTACAGTGTTTTTACATTATAGATGCTCTGTATCTGGGTAGTAAATAATCAATACACAGCTGTGTACATTTGTACAGTAATGGATATGCAATGTATATCAGCAACATCAGATGTGCAAAACGACAGCAGCGTGTTATTTAACTGACTCAGACAGAAACTGTGCAAAAATCAGCATGAATGTAACAACTTATTGAGGCTGTTGGGAACAGTGATTGTTATTAAGTCTTATAGCTGCTATAGGAGGAAGGATAACGCTCTCTGGAGCATTTAGGCTGCAGCAGACTGTTACTGAAGGAGCTTTCCTTTTATTTTTGTTAGGGTCCTTTTGTCTCCCACCTCTTGCACTGAGTATGATTTTCTTTTTTCTAAACTGCAAAACGATCTAGAAATAAGTAAAAAAAAATCTTGAATTAAGTGTATTTAGCAATTTGAGTAATTTGAGTAGGTAAGTAAGATTATTTACCAATTTGAATATATTTTTTTAGTCTTAGAATAAGACAATTATAATATGCATGTGAAATAAGACAAGGCAATTGTTTTTTCTTATTTTAAATGTAAATTGTCTAGTTCTACTGGCAAAGTGTCTCACCTCCTAAATTCAAGAAGAAACACACTTATTTTAAGAAAAAAATGACTTATTTAGATTTCAGTTTTTTGCAGTATAAATGTGCTTGCCTGATTAAAGGGTAACACACGTACCACAAAGTTACCCTTTTTGGCACATCAGTCACCTGAATATTTACCCAAAATCCATAGGGTTCATTGCGATATTGTTGAATTAATAGACATATACGTTTATCTAGTAGCAATTGCTCTTTGCCATTGAACTTTCCAATGGATGGTAACCCCTTTTTTTCCTTAATGTTGCATTAGGAACTCTGACCATAAGTGAGGCCTGCATGCATGAGATTTTGTTGTTTTTTGGTGGGCATTATTGATTGCTTTTTGGGATTGTTCAGAACACTTCATGTTGTTAGACATTTTTTTTTTTTATAACGCTCTACATGTCTGGCAATCAGTGAACCTAGGTAAAAAGGTATAATGATAAGTGGACTGAATTTGGAGAGCACTTTACAAGTAATACCCACTTTGGAAAGTGCTGTGGGGTTTGCAACCTTTCCAACGCAAAAACACATTTTTGGCCTCAGTTGAGCAAAATAAAATCTGTTTAGTTACATGACATTTTTAAATAAGTACCTATTAAACTCATTTAAAAAAGTTTTGTTGTTTTTTGACAAATCAATGTTTTGTTTAAATTTTTAGGTTTAAAAATGAAGAAAAAAAATTTTGTCAAAATGAGGAAGGAAACATTTTTCCTTGTTGTTCCTTTATACATGTTGATATATTTAGAGAATTATGTAGAAAAATTAAACAGTAATCTAAAGTAAAGTCTTAAGCATCATTCTGTTGAGGGATTATATTGCAGTTGTTCTACTGAAAAACTAAAAAGCTTCATAAAACGGTCTCATAGTTTTATTTAGAAAAAGATGAAACAATAGTTCTTTATCAGTTAATCTATAGGAGTTATTTTATGAGCTCCACAGAGGCACATGTGGCCCCTGAGCTTCAACATTAAGACCCCTGCACTGGAACCGCATTCATCCAGTCAAACTCACAAACACCACAAATCCTATACTGATATAGATTGGTAGGCACTTTTGTATTAAGTGCCTTGCCCAGGGGCACATACAGATATAACATGAAAACACTGGGATTGAACCTACAACACAAAGCATGACTGATATTAGTGGTGAGCAATTACTTTTGGACATTTATTTTTTCCACCTATTTCTGTTATAAATGAATAAGAAAAAAAAATATGCAGACAGTTAAAGCTGACTTTTTAATTAAGCCAAAATGAATGGATTTTAAGGTTATGGAAGAGGAATAGGGCCACTGAAAAAAAAAGCTAACTCAAGTTAACTTAAATATCAAATATTTTATTTCAGTGTAATATGAGAAAAAAGTCAGAATTCTGTCTTTTTTCCCAGAATTCAGACTTTTTCTCAAAATTCTGATTTTTTTCCCCTCAGAATTCTGACCTTAATCTCACAATTCTGACTTTAATTTCACAATCCTGACCAAATTCTGAGAGCTAACAAACATGTTAGCATCAAGCCATTGCCATGTCTGTTTTAAAGACTAAACTAGCTCTCTTGTTTTAATAACATTCTGCCCTTCCATTAATTAAACAGCATCTTTGTGTTAAATAGCGTCACATAAAAAGTCACTGTAATTTTCCACCAATGTGTTACTGGCCCTCCCAAACAAATCACATCTTTGTTAGTGAAGCTGAGCACTCTGAGATTAAAGTCACAATTCTGAGAAAAAAAAAATCAGAATTCTGACTTTAATCTCAGAACTATGACTCTAATCTTAGAATTCTGACCTTAATCTCAGAATTCTGACTTTAATCTCACAATTCTGACCAAATTCTAAGAGGTAACAAACATCCAAAATTCTGAGATTAAAGTTAGAATTATGACTTTTTCCCCCATATTAAACATATTTATATATCAGGTAACTATTTTTTTAGTGGCCCTAATCCTCTTCTGTACACATCTTCATGGTGCCCATCTACATTACGATAAAAAAATTAAGAGATTAAAGTCAGAATTCTGAGGTTAAAGTCAGAATTCTGAGAAATTAAAGTCAGAGTTCTGACTTTTCCCATATTAAACTGAAATAAAATTTTAAAATCAGTCAACTTTTTTATTTTTTCAGTATCCCTAATCCTCTTCCGTATAAGGCTTTAAAAAAAACAAAACGATTTAATAATTACTGATCAATTCACGCCCACTGATAGTCTATTTTGTGAAATCCCTTGAAGTGGCCCTTTTTTGCGCATGCGCGGCCCCCTCTGTCGCCTCCCAGCAGTGAGTGGTTTTTCGGGTTCATCCGACTTCTGTCGGCCGCTCTGAGTTTACTGTATTGTCAAAGGCTGCTGCTGTGAATCGGTAGAGGAGGAGGCGGAGGAAGGGGGGGTCTCAGTAGCCAAATTTCTCCCCTCACAGTGAACACATCCGGAGTCCCGACGATCGTATTTAAAAAGCCCGTTGTGTCTTTTTAGGAAGCAGAGTTTTAGATGTATATATTTTAAAAATTATTTATGTCATTTTTGCTTAGTATATGCTTTACGTTTAACACGCTGGGAGGGCAGAAATGGCGGCCAACATGTACCGGGTCGGAGGTATGTATGTCAGTGTGGATCCTTTTTTTTTTAATCAAGCAGAAACCCCTTACGTTATTTTTATTTTTTTTTTAGCATATTTGATGATGCGTTAATTAAGGTTGGCGGTGCAATAAGAAGCGATTAAACCACATTAATAGATGCGAAAGAGGTCGGAGCCGGAAGGTGAGCATTTCTCAATATTTGGGATCCAAAATGAGTCAGGCCGCAGCAGTTAGCCGCTAACTGGCTACCTGGCTATGTAAACATTTTTTTTTCAGCTGTCGGTGCTATTAGCTGCTAAAGCGGCTCTTAAACGCTTTCACGCTGGGTGTAAGATGTTGGCTTACGGTTGAACATCTATTTAAACGGGTGTTGATATTTCCCCACGGTCAGTATGAGGCTGCCTTTGTATTTGCCTCTTCTGGCATGCAGCCATTAGTCTACGAGTCCTTATTTAGCTAACGTTAGCACGAGCCGCAGCTTAACTGGTCGCCCCCCTTCATTATTATTAATGCCTCGCGATTGATATTGTTTGGAATATTATTTTAAAATAGCCTTTTCCGTGTAGTGATACACAGACGCCGACTTTAAGTGTGTTTAATCATCAAATGTACTGGCGTGGACGGCCAGCTAGCTCGTTAGCAGTCTGCTGGAATTCAGCATCAAATGATTGTCTTCATGGCGTCAGTGCGGCTGCTACCATTGAACCTTCCACCTCCATCCGCTCATACTTGAGCTTTAACTCGTCATCAACATGGGATCCTAGCCCCTAATTCAATGTTGCATCACTTTAATGTTACAGTATATATTTTTCTTTTGTGGTTATCACAAGCACGTCATAATGGGTCTTTTTCTTTTAGTTCTGGTGCCTTCAGGTGCTCTTTGTAAACTTGACGTCTGTAAACGTTGCGTTCAAATCTCCGAGTGCAGATGCACTTTACTAAATTGTTACATTTAAGTTTTTTTTTTTTTATGTTTCAGTTCATAAAATCAAACTTTTGATTAAAATAATATACATATGTATTTCTTACAAGGTAATTTAAGAGATAAAGTTAAGGGATTATGGGTTACAGCTCATTTTTAAAACAAACACATTTTACAATAAGAGCTGAGAGATTAAATTTATTTTTAAAACCAAAAATTCACAACTGGAGGATAATTTTTACTTGCTGGTTGACATCCTCTACCAGCATATCAGTGAAAGGTGTGGAAGCAAAAGCTCGTTCAGGAGTTTTGAGCAGATTTACTAAAAACTGTGGCTGAAGAGTCACCACCCATAGGCACAAGCAGAAAATGTATCTTGGACCTGTTTCATTCTGCGTATAAAGCCACTCCTAAACCAGGGACGTTAGAAAGAGGACTGAAATAAAGGATCTTTGTTGTAGGTCTGTGAAAGACCTTTTGCATAAATAAGAAAAACAAACACATCTTGCAGTAACTGCTTGGTAAATGTAAGAAAAAAAAATACTTAAATCTGATGATAAAGTATCTAGAAAAGTTGTGTTTACTTTTTTTGTTACTTTAAGTTCATTAGCACTGTTTTTCTTCAGTAACAGGTATATAGAGCCTTACAGAATCATTCTGTTCTCATTATTTGACAAACTAATGCAGGGTTTTGAGCTCTTAGTCAGCAGAGTCAAGTCAAGTTAATGCTTAAAAATAAATGAGAATGTCATTTTTTTTTTTTTTTTTTTTTACACACATCAGTTTGAATAATGTTGCTTTTTGCTTACACCCTCATGAGTCGGTACTAATGCTCCAAAAACCACTGCAGGTCTGTTGTAATACATCCCTAACATCTTTGCTCATCGAGATAAAGCTCAGTCGAATTGATTGGAGAGGATCTTTGAGCATCGATTTGTAAAGTCTTGCCAGAGATATGTTGGATTTAGGTCCGAACTTTGACTGGGTCATCATAGTATTTGAACATCCTTCGATTAAAACTATTCCATAGTAGGTACCACTGTAGGATCATTGCCCTGTTATTCCAAGAAATTATTTTTAAGCAACTTGTTATTAAATTGACTAATAATTCTTACAAAAAAGGGGAAAGGATTTGGGAAAAAAGTTAAAATGAAGCTAACTCTAAAACGACGGGCCTCTACAAGGCTCATTAATGACAGTATTGGATACATTTTTCTATAAAACCACAAATTGTTTACTTTCTCTGTAATTGACAGGACTGTTTTCTTTATGTTAGTAATTGAACTTAATTGATCTCACACTGGAGAAATGTACCTCTGCATTAAACCCATCCCCTTGGGGAGCAGTGGGCTGCCATCATGGGGCACCCGAGGAGCAGTGTGGTGTTAAGGGTCTTACTTAAAAACCCAAAATGGCAGTCTGTGGAAGTGGGACTTGAACTCAGAACCTCAGGATTCTAAGCTCTATGCCCTAACGCAGGGGTGGGCAATTCCAGTTCCTGGGGGCCGGTATCCTGCATCTTTTAGATGTACCTTTGGTTCAACACACCTGAATCAAGTACTCAGATAATTGGGAGGACCCTGCAGGAACCGACTGCATACTGAGGAGGTAACGCAGCCATTTGATTCAGGTGTGTTGGACCACGGATGGATCTAAAAGTTGCAGGATACCGGCCCCCAGGAACTGGAATTGCCCATCCCTGCTCTAACCTCTAGGTCACCACTCCTCCACGTAATGGAAATGATGTGTAGTAGTGAATGTGCCATTTCTTGCAGTACACAGCTAAGACGTTGTGATACCATCTTGTGTCTTTTTGCAGATTACGTCTTTTTTGAAAACTCCTCCAGTAACCCTTACCTGATCCGCCGGATAGAAGAACTCAACAAGGTACTTGCATTGTTTTTCAATTTTGTGCTTGAAGGTGAATAACTTGGATTCCTGCCTTGGAGCCCCACCCACGGCCCCCACGCACTGACGGGTTGACTGAAATTAACATGTGTTCTTTTGTCTCCTAACTGTCAGTTTGACATTTCTTCTTTAATCGCGGGACACACCTGTATGGGCATGAGTGCTTGCTGGCCTTACAAACTGGTTATTAAAAACTTTGAAAGCTATTCATGCCCCATGTGCACGGTCAGCTAGAAATTGATACAAGCTTTTAACTTGAATACATTTGCAACATGATCTGATGCACTTAAGGGTAGTGTTTTATCACATGTAGAGGTTCCTCTTTAAGGCATCTGCTAGGAGTTTGTCAGTTAAACCAAAGGAGAGTAGATGAAAAGATAGAACTGCTCATCACCCTTGATCCGTTAGACCAGGGTTAAGCATTTTCTTTTAGTTGATAAAGTCTGTGTTTTGATTATTTTATATGTACAATATTTGTTTTAGTCCATAATAACAAATGCAATGGAGAACATTTATTAATAGAGAAAGGAGGGAAACATTTTTTTTCTCAATTTTAGCTTTTGCTTTATTCACCAAGCATCTGCACACACAAAAATGTTGATTGGGATTGGCCATGGAGGTCCCCTGCGGTGTTAATTTTTGTAGCCAAAGTGATGAAGAGCCATTGTTGTGTTTAAAGAGCCCCTTGGAACCATTAGTTGCTTCCCCTTGATTACACTGATATATTAATCATTTGTATTTCAAACATTTATTTGTGTTATTAGATTTACAGTTAATACAACCTAAATTACGTCCATGTAGTGTACAGTATAAACGATACATTTTTCCAATTTTCATAACATTTTGAAGTATGGCATTAGAAAAGCCTGATAGAAACGGCAAAATCCCAATTATCTAATTGGTGCAAAAACCTTCTTAGCTCACTTGAGTTAACTTTTTAGAAAAAGTGTAAAGAGGAGCTGGAAACTAGTTTTTCTTAGGATGTCATGGATGCAGCATTAGAATCACACTTTTCTTTCTCTGGAAGTCTGTGGATGGTGTGAACCATCGCTGATACCAGCTGACATGATGAAGTAGGTTAAACTTGCCCAAGCAAAACACATTTCTTAAGACTTAATTTCTGATCTTTGGAAAGTGATCAAGCGTAACGTCAACATATGACAACATTAGGTTTTATGTCGCCTTGTTAATTCCCTCCAAGGGTTTAGTTGTTCACTTTTAAAAGGTTTGTACAAGGTTCTCATCAGGTTTGGATGAAAACGCAACTAAAAACTGGCTGGGCTTATTTGCATAAGGTGCTTAGGAGCCCATGTACACGATAAACAACTATGATATCCTGACCATTGAAGTGCATACTGGTATATTCTAGTGCTGCACCTTTAATTGTGTTTTTAATGTACTCCTAATAAAACTAAAACATTCGAATCCCAGAGCAACTACTTCTGGTTTCATGGCATTCAACAGGAAAAAAAACTGCATGTCACACTCCAGCCCTTAAGGTGGCGATATTACCCTTAAAGTAGGTTTGCCGACACAAACAAGGGAAGGGAGAGTTGCAGCTAGCACACAGAAAAATACATGCAAGTAACAATGGACTCTGGAAAAGCAAGTTTTCAAGGTCATTAAAAGCTGACGCCTGGTTTTGAAACATCCACATGCTTATCTTGGTGCAAAGAAAAATCTAAATAAAATCACTATATTGGTTGACTATAATTTCTATTTTGATGTTCGGCATAGTTGTTCAGCACACTCAAAGCTCTAAATAGGGCTGGGTATTTTCGCCAAAGTCCTGAATTGATTCGATTTTGATTCATACAGTTCTAAATCGATTTATTGCAATTCAATCTGTTTTTACAACAATGAAATTGCTTCAACTTGGTTTTAAAACACTCGTGTATTTTATTTTTTCCTGTCATATTAAACACAAAGTGCAAATTGGTAATTTGGACAGTTTAAATTTGAGATGTGAAAAAAACTGTCTTACTTTTTTGTGAAAAGGGAAAAAGTGAAGCCTCACTCGACCAAGCAGATGTGACACAGCAGACATGCATGAGCTGCATTCTCTTCAATGCACAAACCATATTTGCAGCGTTGTCTGTAACAACTACAGGATGTTTGCTGGTCAGCCTCCATTTGTTAATGTCTTCAGTCAACCTATTGGCTATATTTGCAGCTGTCTGGCTTGAAGTCATCTTGAGTGCATCTTTCCTGCTCATTTGAATGTGAACGTCACAGGCGTCAATATAAAACTAATCGATCTCATTCCCTAGACATCGATTTTGCAAAAATGTAAAGGAATCGATTCAAAATCGATTTTTTTTTTTTTACCCAGCCCTATTAGTAAATGTTGGAGTGCAGACGAATGACGACTCATGCAAGAGAAAAAAAATATCATCACAAAGGAAAACATGAAGTGCTCTTAAATTGAGAGGCATCCTGGGAAGGCTGCTAGTGCCCCTCCAGCTGTCTCTGAACGACATGCCCCTCAGACCCTGCACTTAGTTGATGGCGTTGCCGGCTTAGCATTTTACAAAACAGCAATGCACCAATATTGTCCGACGACATGGCAGTCATCTGCTTTATTTCCATTGCTGTTTCAGACTTAACTCTTGGGCCACTGCATCCCATGTCTTTGGCTACGTTCACACTGCAGGCCTTGATGCTCAATTCAGATTTTTTATTTTTTTTGCATTGCCGTTTACATTTCCAAATATATGTGACTTGTATGTGATCTCCTCTGTGAACTGCATTCATACAACCCTAGTGTCCCATATGCGTAGTAGAAGTAGTAATGAAGCCACAAACCAGTGTGCTCGGTGTTCATGGAAGTAAACATGGATGGTTGTGCCAGAGCGCATCTAGCAATCTTTCCCAACCTTAAAAACTCAGTCATTTCAATATGGTTAAACATAAATACCGCTCTCAGCATTATCGTTCATCATTTTTGTTGTGTTTGTTGCCGCTTCTACGTATCAAGACGCAGAATAATGACCTTTGTCTGGTATTAATGCTGTACAGGTCGGATAAATGCGACTCCGATTCGTATCGGATTGAGGACCACATAGCCAAGTGGCCTGGGTGGCATTGGAAAAAATTGGATCTGTGTTGTTTAGACTGCCATGAAAAGATCAGATACAGGTCGCATCTGGGCAAACATAATCTGATTTGGGTCACTTCGGGCTGCTGTGTGAACGTAGCCATTGATACCTTAGTTGTGGTTTCTGGGAGTGCTGATTCCAACATCAGCCCATGTCTTATTAATTCCACTCAAACTCTCCAATGGGCTTTGCATTACAATCTTCATAAATGTGTTTTTATTCATATAGGTGCACCTTCTTCTTTATTTTTTTATTTTTTTCCCCCCTTTTTTTTCCTCCTTCCACTCAGTTTAACTCTATTATGCCTGGATGTGCTCCCTGAACCGCCAGCGTATATAGCAATCATCCTTTTAGGCTCCAGGGAAGCCGTTAACGACTCTCTGCTATAGTCCACTCAGACACTCTCCCAATGATTATATACATCATAAGATTTCCCTGTAAAAAAAAAAAATAAATAAAATAAATCTTTTCCTTTATGGCAGATAAGAGTAGGCTGTTGTATGCAGAGGCTAAATCACATTTCTAAGAAAGTAATGAGGGTCAAAGTGGTACACTGTGAAAATAAATGCTTAAAATGTTTCAGTATTTATGTAACGTCTTTCTTTCCCGTAATTTGTGAATCTAAATGCAGGTGTCACTGTGAATTAAATTGCCTAAAATAAATTGGATCATATTCTATTTATTAAAGATGCACCTGTAATTCCCACATTTAATCACTCGGCATCAGTTTTAATTGAGTTCACCTGTTAGACTAATTACTCATCGCGGCAATGAATCAGCCATTTAAAAACGCTGTCTTAATTTGATGGAAGCACAAAATAGACGGTGCTCTTGGGAAATCTGAGCCTTATAGATGGACTTATTTGCAGCATTTCTTTACGCCAGCCTTGATCTTTAATCTCTCAATTTCAGACCGCCAGTGGGAATGTGGAGGCCAAGGTGGTTTGTTTCTACAGAAGGAGAGACATCTCTCACAGCCTCATCCAGCTTGCAGATAAACACGCGAGTGAGTAGTGTCATCTGTCCCCTTTTTTAGACTTTGAACTCGTGCAACATTAAATAAGGTTATTTACAGCTTCCTCACAGGCTGAGATCCGTCTTTGTAGTTTGAAAAATTGTGTATAAGGTTGTTTTCTGCTTAGTTTTGCAAACTAAGCAGCTTTGAATTCCTTGTGCTTAAAAACTGATCACCCTGAGTTGTATTCAGTTTCATTTTTATATTAGTTTGGGTTCTGAAGCTACACATATTAATATCATACCATCTTGACGGAGAACTAGTCAATTGAGACTGTGAAGGAACCAGTTTATGAAGTGATTAAATTAGCTTTTTTTTAACTGCATCTGTCTGATCAATTGGCCCATAAATCACATTTCTCAGTATTTACTAAAGGGGTGCATTTGGTTATTCCTCTTTCTGCCTGTTTTTCATTTACGTCTTGCGGTGTTTTTTTGATTTGTTTCCTCCACTCTGTCTTTTGCAGAGGAGTTGGAAGAAGAGAAGGAGAACCCAACAGAGACAGATCTCACAGACAAACAGAAACACCAGCTTCGCCACAGAGAGCTATTCCTCTCCCGACAATATGAGAGTCTCCCAGCGACACACATCAGGTACTTAAACGCCAGCCCATACTCATGCAGATAGTTTTCTATACCACCAGGCTCATGATCTGCAGGCAGTACACGCGGATAAGTCATTCAGGCGCAAACGCATTACAGGCACAGGCTGCTTCCTTTGTATGTGTTTTACATGGTGCCTGCTTCCCTTTCTCCCTCTCCATCAGGGGGAAGTGCAGTGTGGCATTATTGAACGAGACTGAAGCCGTTCTTTCATACCTTGACAAAGAGGTAAGCTTGAGGGGGAAAAAATAAAGGATGACAGTTACTGGGGGTTGTTCTTTTAGCAGTGCAGCTCAAAATAACCAGCCTTACTACCATTCTTTGATTTTAGATTGACTTTTAATTTTAGATTATCTTTAAACCATTTTATTTTTAACTTAACAAAATAAATAGCTTAACAAAATAAAATGCTTGTTTTTATGTTTTTCATGTTTCCATAGAAATGGGGAGGCTGTACGAGTCGCTTAAATTCCATAAACAAAGACTTAACTTGGGGTTAACGTTTTAACCAGGAGTTTTATACAGGGCTGATTTTGAATGGGTGAAATTGGCAGCTGCCCAGGGCGACACTGGTTAGGGGGCGCAATTGTTTTAATGTACTTTTAAAAATTATGTATATATAAACTGGGTCTTGGTACGTTTTGTCATCAAATCTACTAATAATCCCTGTGATAAAAGAGCTAAAATTTCACAACTATATCTTGCTCAAACAGTAGGAAACGTTTGCCAGCTTCCCGTCATAAGTCCCCACATTTAAGTTACATTGTCCTTCAAAAATAGTACCAGTCCCTGATTATAGATGATTGCTAGGACCCAGGTTTGGTACCGTTTACTGTAACATCAAAGACAGGTTAAAAAAAAAAAAAGAGAGAGAGGGAAAAAGATAAAAAGGCCTGAGGTGTCTGGAAAAGGTTCCTGGAGTGGATGCACATTTTTAAAATGGTTGAATTTGCATGACTACCATCACTGACTGATCAGCAGTGCCTGTTTGTATTCCCAGTACATCCATTAGAGTTACAAAAGACTTGACTTCCTTTTTTGTTTGTTTGTTTCTAAAGAAAATAAAATTTCACTAAGCTTTCTTTTTTTTTGCTTACGTCTGTTTGGTGAAAACTGAGATTCTTGTTCTTTTTGTTTTTCACCTGTCAGAGCCTCTTTTTTTATTAATCTGGTTTTAATCCAACATGAGCTATGATGCAGAATATAGGCGGAACAAAAGGTGAAGTCTAGAATGGGCTTAATTGGTAGATCACCTAAAAACCTTTTCTGAGTTTTAATCTAATTGTCCTGCATGTTTCAGTTACTTTTTAAAGGAAACTATTTTATTTTTCTTTACATAATACGACACTTTACTGATTGTTTAGCTTTATCTCAAAATTGTTAGATAGAAGGGGCAATAATTTCATCATAAAAGTGATGCCTTTGTTCTCCTTTGCAGGACACTTTCTTCTACTCACTGGTGTACGACCCGACCCAGAAGACCCTGCTGGCTGATAAAGGGGAGATCAGGGTGGGGCCGCGCTTTCAGGCAGACGTACCTGAAATGTTGGTAGAGGGTACGGCAAAATTTGTTTGATATAAAATTAAGCTTTTATGATCTTATATCACAAAGTTGGCTGCTTATTCTCCCCTGTCTTTATGATGAAACCCCATTCTGGTTGGTTTAATAAAACATTTCCTTTGTGTTTTGCAGTAGAGACAGATGACAGGGACCAGTCCAAGCTGGAGGAGAAGCTCTGGGATCCAGAGTGTCCTCTGACCGACAAACAGATAGACCAGTTCTTAGTGGTGGCGCGGTAGGTCCGCTTTCCTCTCTGATCTCTGCACAGACCGCCTCGCCTTTACATAAACACAATCTGGGCTTGGAAAGATTAAAAAAAAATTCTGGCAGAACTCAGTATTTCAACTAACACTAACACAGTTAAATAAGAACAAGCTACATGCTTAATTCCTCTCTGAATTATTCCACACTTTAAAGTGTAGTTGTAGCTATTAAACACTTTATGATAAAGTTGTGGGTGTTTTTTTTTTTTTTTCTACCCTGTTTTATATTGAGTTGAATCCTTGTTTATTTGTGCCAATCTTATTGTTTTTTCTGTTTGGTTTTTCAGGGCTGTTGGGACCTTTGCCCGGGCACTGGACTGCAGCAGCTCAGTTCGACAGCCAAGCTTGCATATGAGTGCAGCTGCAGCCTCTCGGGACATCACACTGGTTAGTCAGGAACGCAATATGTGTTGTACTGCTCAAACAAGCTACATTGGCAGGTCGGATCCTAAAGAAAAACAAAAATAAGGATCAGTCAGGGAGTGATTTTATATTTTTTAGCACTGTTTCTACCTGAGTATTGTTTCAAAGATGGTCTGTGATGTCTGCTTTCTTGTAGTTCCATGCGATGGACACGCTGCATCGCCATAATTACGATCTGTCCAGCGCTTTGAGCGTGCTGGTCCCGGCGGGCGGCCCAGTGCTTTGCAGGGATGAGATGGAGGAGTGGAGCGCCTCGGAAGCAGCCATGTTTGAGGAGGCTTTGGAGAAATATGGGAAAGACTTTAACGACATCCGACAAGACTTTGTAGGTTTTTGTTTTGTTTGTCTGTTTCTTTACTTCAGCGACTGAAACTTGGAGGTTAATTATGTGGAATGTGAAAAGTATAAACATCAAAACGTTCTCTATATATTTTTTTATCTAATATTTGTTCCATAATTTTAAGAAATGAAGCCATTTTTCCTCTGCTGTCTCTGAAACCTCATCTAGAGCACTCTGTCATGTTTTGATCTCTTCCTTCCTGGAATCTAACTGTATATTTCTAACATAACCATAATACTTTTGAATGAGGCGAGGGCATCAGGTGCTCATGAATACTTATATGTGAAGCACTGTGTGTGGCGGGGGGGTGTAATTGTTAGGCCAATATATGCCTATTTGTGAGGAAAAGTTCTCCTTCTGGGTTAGAGGTTGGGTTTAGGACTAGGATAAGGGAGTGATCTATACAAATGAATGAATGAGTCCCCATATGGATAGTAAAACGAGTGTGTTTTTCTGTGGCCAGAAGCGAGTGAAGTCAGTAGCTCTCAGCCTTTGTGGTCACGATGTCTCAGGCTCATGAATATACATGAAAGCCCGATGCCCAGACGGAGAGAACATGAGGTATTGATATCATTAACTTGCTGTCTGTCTCTGTTTCCCTCTCCAACCATCACTCTGCCTGTGATTCCTACTGCTATGTGAAGCTGCCGTGGAAGTCTCTGACCAGCATCATAGAGTACTACTACATGTGGAAGACCACGGACAGATATGTCCAGCAGGTGAGATTCCTGTAGTTATTGAGGAGCGAAAGCAAAGATGTCTTATTTTGTCTGGAGATATTTGCTGCTGTCGACAGTCTCCCAGTGTTAATTGGCTCAGAGATCCTGTGTTAATATCTGCTTATATTTAGTGTTTGCCAATAGAATATTTTTATTTTATGCAGGATTAAACAGAATGAGGGTCATTTAAAGTTAATACCACCTCGTTGGAAATCTTTTATCGCAGTGAGACGAATCTCACCAAAAGGCTCTGAATGTTGTTTTTACTTTTAGGGAGGGGTTGTTGATGAGAATTTCACTTTCTTAACTTATCAAGCTGAAACATGACTCACAATAAACTTGATTTTCCTGTAAAGTTGCATTTTGAAAGTGTGCAGGTCAGAAATGTGTCTGCGTTTTTATTTACTTCAGAAAGCCATTAAGAAGACTCTGGGAATCAAACCTGAGCTTCCATGATGTCCTGAAACTTCTTTAAAAATATCCCATGTCTAAAATATTTAAAGAAGCCAATTTGGAATACACACATTATCTTAAGTTTAATCTGTATCCTATTTATTTATGTTTTATTCTCATTTCTTTTTTTAAATATTTTGCAAGGATATTAATTGAAGATTTTCACCGAAAACTTTTTTGTTCTTTCCTTCTTTAGATGTTAACAGCCACACAAACTACCATTACTGGTAGTATTATTACTAATAATATTACTAGGACAACCACTATTGGGGCTGGGTGATCTGGCTTAAAATTCATAATTTCATAATTTTTCTAAATTTCTGAATTTTTTTTTTTTTCGTTTTATTATAAAATCAGATTTTGTTTTTTCCTAACTGAAGTTTCATAATAAGAAATACAAATGGCATATATTACTCTCAAACGAGCCTTTTTCCATTATCCCCTATGGAAGGTGAACCTAATTTAAACCAAAATTCATGCATGATGATATTAATTTAAAGTTTTTATAACCAATATTGCTTTTATTCTTGCTTATGTTATTAATATTATCCTTTTGTTATCTTTCTTAGTATTTAACTTTTTTAACTATGTAATCTCCTTTTTGTCTGTACATTTGTGATGTTTTGGAATACGTTTAGTAAAGGTGATTAAAAGCATTTGTATTTATGATCTAATAAGATTTATCTGCCGAACTGAAAATATTCTAATAGGTTTTTGTTGAAAATGTTTGAAATGTTCTGTTGTTTCACTTGTTCAAGAAATTTTTTATTTCTTATTGAGCAGAAAAGGCTGAAGGCAGCTGAGGCAGAAAGCAAACTGAAGCAAGTTTATATCCCCACATAGTGAGTTTCCAGATTTCAATTATAAAATTAAACATGTATATTTATTTTACTGCTTAAAACTAAAGCTTGTTTGCAACACTTAATCTTAACAGCAACAAACCCAACCCAAACCAGATCTCGATGACCAACGGCAAGATGGCAACTGTGAACGGCGCGGGCCCCGGGGCCTTTCACGCAGCAGGAGGCGGCAGAGCCTGCGAGAGCTGCTACAGTAAGTTTTGCTTGGGTCGGTGCACGGAGCACCCAGGAAAATTTGTAACAGTGCAGAGGGAAATGCACAGAAAACATGGCGAGCCACCAGCAGCTCCTATAAACGTCTAGAGACGTTCCGTGATTTAGCCCATAAATATCATCACTATGAACAGATTGTGGAAAAACCCCAGGAAAGAAATGACTGTCACTCTCAAACGGGATGAAGAGGCTTTGATACAGTTGTAAAAACCTACAAGAGGTTTGACTAAAACATCTGAAACTCATAATGAAAAATACTTCATTTATTTTCCTACGTGTAAATGCTTAAACTTACCTTCACCGTCTTCTCAAGGCTGCAGCTATCTCTGCTGCTGTGCACCTTTTTCAATCCTATTAAGGGGCTGAAACAATCAGATTAATCGTGATTTAGTTATCGATTCATCATAAACTAGAGTACAGAGACTATAATATGCCTTTAGCTGATAGAGCAACCAACTTAGAGCAGTAACTATACCAAAATAGTAAAAAAAAAATATATACTAATATTTTACATTTAAGGTTAAAAAAAGTTTGTCAATATGCTCTACCCTTTTCACCTGTTTTAACTCTGTTAAAGATCTTCTTTAACAAACCTTTTGATATCTGATTATTAATAGATTACTTGAAAGATTAATCAATAAATTAATTGATCAGCAAAATAATCGTTAGTTGCACCCCTAAGCTTTTGCAGCCAGCTCTTGTAGCAAACAGTTTTTTTTTTTTATCTTCTTTTTTGGGGTTTTTGAGCATTTATTCATTTATATTTTTACTGAAAAAAGATTTGTACTAATTATTTTATTTTGAAATACTTCAGTGGGTTTTATGGAAGTTCTTAATATTTTGAGAAACTAAATTCAGGGTTTCATTAACAGTCAGCGTTACCATTACAATGGCTGTTAAAAGTGCTTTATAAAAAGCTATTAATGGGAACTTAAGAGGAAGGAAAAAGTCATATTTGGAGGGAAGAAAAAACAGAATAAATGCTTGATGTATATCAAGTTTATATATTTGTACTTGAAGCATTGATTAAAGTTAAAACTTAAATAATCTTCTGATAACTGAGATGACCTCTACTTTGTTTTAAAGTGAAATAAATGAACAGAGGAGTGATTAAAACTGCACTGAAGTGCTGCTGCTTGTGGTGTTGCATGCATGCATCCACGCTGCAAACCAGCTAAAACTTAACACCAAACCTGCTGCCTCCTCAAGTCATCCTCAGTTCTGGAAGACGTGTGAGCAGAGTTTAACATGTTTGTTTGTGTGTGCAGTCGATGGAGGGCGAGCTACACAGCTTTTTTGAAATCATAAATATTGAAGTATTCAGAGGATTGTGGGCAAAGCTTAAAAAAGAGGTGGATTGTTTTTGAGTATTTTGTAGACTGGTTTGCTCCCTTGAAAGTAATTGGGTTTTTGTGCCTTACAGCCATGCAGTCGGCCCAGTGGTATTCGTGGGGCCCTCCCAACATGCAGTGCCGCCTGTGTGTTTCCTGCTGGATGTACTGGAAGAAGTACGGCGGTCTGAAGATGCCAAGCAGAGCTGAGGCCCCAGAGGAGAGGACCTCCCCAACTCCTGCAACCAATGTAAGTTCCAGACAAATTAAATTGTTTTAAAAGGCAGTAAAGAGACTGTTGGTAATTTTTTAAAAGTAGAGAAAGACCCTTAAAGAACATAATAAAAAAGGAAAATGGTTCAAATAAACCCATTGAGAATAAGTAAAAATCCTTCACTTGTAAAGGGGTGACTGTACCAATACAACATGTCTGTGATGTCCTCAGTAAGCATCAATTATTCAGTAAGCTATCAGCCTCTTGTACTTCCCATATTGGCTTTTAATATGTTCTCTAGGTCTTCTACAATGGGGAAATGAATCATTTGTAGCATAAAGAAAAGGAAAAGGCAGCAACCTGAAAGGACAGTCAGCCACTGTAGCTTTATCTGCATAAAGCGAATACAGCAGGAAAATAGACCCTATTAATGTTATTATTACACTGTCTAGTAAAGAATCCTTGGTATAACTGGCCCCCTAAGGATGGTACCGATGTAAAAAAGATTTAAAAATGACTTCAAAATCAATTCAAAGTTTCCACTTAGGGCCCTGTCACCCCTTGCCGATTATCCAGCATATACCCGACGTCCCAGAATCTTAAAAAAACGCTTGCACATGCTGAAGTTTCTGTGTATTTTTTCAATTTTGGGCATATACGTAGAGTATTTATGACTCCAGAACTTCTGCCAAACAGCGTAACTTAAAATGCACAGCTGCGTAATGCACATGAATTGATGCACAAGCCAGTGTCCTGAGGGGGCCAGCAAAGCGCCCGGCCTGCATAAAAAGATGTTTGATCGCCATATTAACCTAGCTGCTGTTTACTGCCCGCCAAAAAAAAAAAGTATAAATAAAAAGAAAAAGGTTTGCAGTTACAGCAGATTCAGCATCATGTTTGTCATTTCAATCATATCACAATCTCCATCAAACTGACCATATCAATACTTTTCTTTGCACCGTTTTTTCTTCCAATGTTTAATTTTTATCACTGTTGCACTTTAAGAAATGGAAATGTCATAGGAGCTGTACTGAACAAAATTTCGTTTTGCAAACACTCTCTATATACAAAATGACAAAGTTTGTTGGTCGTGGGCATGAACACAGGGAGGATCCATCACACACACCTTCTCACTCACCCTATGATGGGGATGAAGTTTGGAGGAGTACTTCAACCCGCTTTTATATCAAAACGCTGCCAATATGCTATAAAACAGCAGCTGTATGTTAGAAACATGTTCAGCAGTCGTCTGGAACACGTCAAATACGTTGATATGCGTTGGAGATAAGTTACGCATAAGTTATGCACATGTTACTCATAGGTTTTGGATAAGCTAGACACCACGACTTACGAGTGACTTGCATTTAATGTATGTCGACGATCAAATAACTTACCTGTAACTTATGGTCCACGTATGGCATACACTGCCCTATGTCGACATTTTGAGCATGCTCCAAACTTCGCCACGTTCTCTCCGCATGTCGACGTGTGTCAGCATTTTTCAGCTCGCTCATAACTTATACAAAACTTACCCATAACTTATCCAACGTATGGCAGCAGTTTTGGCAGAATTTTCGTACGTCAGGCATACGCTGATCTAAATCGTCACTGTGTTACAGGGGCTTGAGACTCATAGACTGAATATGGATATATATCGAAATGTTTTCTCCTATGGAGGGTGAAAAGAGCTGAAATACAATAAATAAATAATGAAATAATTATTTACATGTCATAAATTTATTAACAGGAATAAATACAGAATTAATTTAGTACATATATAATTAATTAAATGGGCCTTACTTTATCTAAAGAAGTGATAATTATTTTATGATAAAATAAATGAATTTGTTTCCCTGCACTGAAGCCCAACATGAACTGATTTTAACTGTCACACATCCATCAAAGTCGAAGACTTTTCTCCTGACTTAAAAGTAAAAGAAAACAAGGCAGAAATTTCTGGTCAATGAGACGACAGGGTTTCTATGGAAGCAGCGCTGGTCCCGCCTCTTTGACCTCGATGGATGTGCAGTTTGAATGAACTCATGTTGCCCTTCAGTGCAGGAACAGTACATAATTTGTTAAATCATGAAATACTTATATTTACTCATTAAAAAAAAAAAAAAAAGTACTCTCTCTAAATAACTAAAGTCAATTTTACTGAGACTTTTATAATTAATTGTATATCTATTGAAAAAATTCTAGATTTATTTCCAGGTTTAATTTAAATAATTATTTCATACGTGATTTAATTGTTGAATTGTGATGCTCTTTGCCCTCCATTCATCTGTCCTTCCATTAATTGGTCTGTGGACCTAGAGAAAGTGTAGGAACTGACTCAGCAGACTTGGTTTATTTTAGGTGAGTCTTTTTTTAAATTATGTGAAATGTTTATTTTATAGGTTGTAATCCTTTTGAACATCTTACATTAGCCCCTTTTTAGATCAGTTTTAAAATGGAAACAAAATGGCACCTGTCTAAGATTAATTAAACGTTCTGCTCTTTCTGTTGTCTCCGTCAATTTGTAGGAGCCTCGCTCCAGGAGTCACGTTCCTCGCCAATCCAACCACATGGTACCGATGAGGAACAGCGGCAGCCCCAAGTCCTCCATGAAGACCAAGCAGGCTTTCCTGCTGCAGGCCACCCGCCTCACCAAACTGGCCCGGCACATGTGCCGGGACGTCATCAGGCTGCGCCGTGCCGCGCGCCGGCCCTTTGTCCCCATTAACTGTGGGGCCATAAAGGCAGAGTGTAAGAGCTCTTTCAATTCCTCCTAACTTCTGCCACATGCCCACACACAAATCCAACCCCCACCCACCCACCCCCTTCCTTCCTCTTCTCTCCTCACCCCAACCTCCCCACCATTCGCCACCATTGCTGCCCTTGTTTGTCTCATTCTGTTTTTATTATTATTGTTATTATTTTGTTTTTGTATTCTCCCACCCTGTTTCCAATAAAGACTGCCTGTCCTCCATAACTGAGTTTTGATCATCTTTTCATTTGTATTTTTGTGTTTTTTATGTTTTTATTTTCTGTTGCATTAATCATTAATGGAGTCGCACACACATTTAGGATGAGCACTTTTACCCACAGACATTTTTAAATGATCTACACAAAAACAAAAAAAATCCTCATGCAGGTAGCAACCATGTTAAAGCACCTTCCATTGGGGGGGTTGTTTTGTTGTCTGAGCCATGTATTTGCTGGAGTCCCAGGTAGAGAAAATGTATTTTACTAAGATGCTCTATTTTGCATGGCCCATCTGTCCCGTCATGACTGCAACATAAATGTTGGCTGTAAATACGCAACCTCAGCTCCACAGTTTTATTTTTTTACACCCATGCATTTTTTTGTATCAGAAAAGATGAATTTTGATTGGATTGACTGAGTTGAGGCTCATGGTGGAAGAACAGTACAGCAAAGAACATGTGTACCTTGCAAAAGTATTCTTTTATTGAGATTTTAGCTGAAAGGATACATAATTTTATGAATATTTATATTAAACACCCAATTCTAGTCTTGCACAATTTTCCAGTGCTTGGCTTCATCCGTCTTCCTACCAACGTTTAACAGCTTCATTTTCTGTGCCTGCTAAGGAAAAGCATCCCCAAATCATAATGCTGCCACTACCATGTTGATGGTAAAGGTGTGTTGATGGTTTTTAGGTTGTATGAGCTCTTTATTTTTTTATTCATAATGGTAATAAATGCTCTGATTTTAGCTCTAGATTTGTTTGGGTTTTGATGACCTTTTGGAAGCTGCATTTTCGCTCCAGTCTCAAGGCTTTTACAGCCTCCATGAGGTTTTTTTCCTGCAGGATTACCCTATATTTACCTCTTCTTCTAACTTCGACCAGCTTTCACCTCCATTAAAAACGGTGAAAAAGGTATATAGCTACTTGATGCATGCAGCATTTGGGTTCTCCCACATATAACAACTAGCCTAGTTTAGACCAGTAAGTTCAATTTTAGCCTCATCTCACCATCTAACCCCTGTCAGATTCTTCCAATGCAGCTTACGATCTCTGCAGTTATGCCAGAATAATGATGGCCTCTGAGTGATGCTCTCTCTACCTAGTCTGTCAGTCTGACGTTGACAGCTTTGTCTCGATGGGCTCCTCAGTCTTTATGAGGTTTGTTCATTAATGTTTTCTAACAGACCTCAAAGTGGGCTTTACTTATTAATGAGGTGATATCTAGTCATTTTATTTATGGGTATTGGATAAAAAAAAAAGATAAAATTGATTTTCCTTCAGTTTTTTTATCAGCTATTCACTACTTTGTATTAGTCTTAACATAAAGTGTCTGCTTGTAGTGTGGCAGCATGTGAGGAAAATTAAAAGGGGTGTGAATACTTCTGCAGGGTGAGCTCCATGTTCTTAACAGGTTCCCTCGCTGTGGGACAGACCTGTTCACTCGGCTCGTTTCCTGTGTTCAGATCATGCACGATTGGTTTTAAAACCTCAGTTTTGTGAATCCTGGATGCAGGATTTTAAATTTTTCCATTCATTTCTCCTTTTTACCTCCACTCCTCCTCTGCATTGTTCATCTAACAACTGTTGCAATAATCTCAGCTCATATTCTACCTCCCTTTGATTTTGTTTTTCTACTTTCATTACTGTGTGAATGTGAGGATACATCTCCAATAAAGTCAGTCCTGAAAGCATTTCGTCTGGGTCTCTGTGCTTCATGTGTCTGTTTTGTGTCCATCAGCTCCATCACAGACAGAGGAACACACACCAAGCATCCTTTCTGAGCATGTACGCAACATTCAATACATTTTTCTCCTTTTGTGATTCCCTCACCTTTCAATGTACATTTAATATTTTTTTATTGTCGAGTTTGCATGGAAATGCATGGATCCACAGTTGTTTTTTTTGTCATCATGCATCCCTGAAAGCCATGAATACTTCAACCCCTGCATCCTGTGATCATTCACATCAGAAGATTCCATTTTCATAAACACTGGTAAAATCAGAAGATGGATCTCAGTAAATACAAGAGGGCATGAGTGAGACAAACCTACATATGTGTGTGTGTTTGGTTTAGACATGTTAAGGGTGTCAGAGGGGCAGGGGACCCGGCTACCCAAAACAAGAGCGGCCCAAAGGAGTACTCTGACCAGTGTTCTGCAGTTCCTAGGTAAATGCACAGATCAGATTATACTCCTGAGTCCTGCGTCTGAGCATCAATTATTCAGACGGTCTCAACGAGCCAGTTCATGCAGCTGCAGTGTGTGGTGTCTCTTCCAGAGTCTCGTCCCATGGCTCACGCCCCTCGCTCCCACCGCACCGCAGGCCTGCAGACGCCACCTCCTCGCCGTCTCCTCTCCTCTCTCCCCCACGGCCCACACGGCATGCTGGGAAAACGCAGCTACCACCACCACAGCACTGCTGACCTGGAGAGGCGCTCAGGTACACGGGAGGAGGGCTTTCTTCCAGATATCTGAGCTCAAGATGTTCTCCCTGAACTGAACATTTGAGGGATGTATCAGCATATATACACACATTTAAACACCACAGCTCATATGTGTTATGCCTCTAATTAGATCTTAACTCTACCACATTTATTGAAACCTTTAATAAGCTTTTGCTATAGGTAAAAATCAACATTAAAATGACAGAATGTTGGTAGGAGCTTTAATAAGAAAGGTAAGCTATTTGAAAGCATTGACCTTAAGCAATGGAATAATAACACTCAGCACTGATGTGGATACATTTAAGAATTAATTATGTCAACCACTAAAAGGCCAGGAGATTCACACACACTCCTAAACGATGATGCATACTATGATGGAGGACATCGACGTGGCTGGATGTCAGATTAATTCCGCCCATAAAAGCTATAATGGCCTGAAGCCAAACTGAGGGGGGAAAAATACACATTGAACTTATGAGTGAGAACTGAGGGAAATTGTGCAAGATTGAAGGAAAGATATATGCATGGTGCTAAGATTTTATCCAGAAAGAAACAAACAAAAACATTTCAATCTGCTTTTGTTAAAGCAGGAGAGTTTGGATAACAAGTGCTTAATTATTTCAAATAAATTAGCATTCCTAATAAAAGTCTCTTGCTCTTAAAAAAGAAAAGTCAGGAACCTATATGTCTTTGTCCAAAGCAGCAGAATCTGCTGTTTAATATTTTATCTGCTTTGGAAAATGCACTGAAAAGAACCACTTTCCGCTAAACTCCTCAGCATGATTATCCCCCCACCATGTTTGCTCTTTGCTTTGAAAGCCACTTCCTGACTCCTCTAAACATAGATTGTCTTATGGTTTTTGTTTTTTCCACGTCGGTTCCTCCAAATGTCAGCTGTGGGGGAATTTCTCCTCCTGAACACCCTTATCCATTTCTTCTCAGGATTTCAGCATGATTCTTTTGAAAACACTGAAAAATGGACACAATCAATTAAGTTCTACTCGCACACAGTAACTTTGCACCACCCTCTAGTTTACAAATCCCTCCAAAGACCCAGCATGTGTAAATCTACCCTTCTACTCCAAAGTGTTTTTCTTAAATAACATATTCTTCCATGTTGATTGTATGACTTGCTTAATTTGTATTGTTCTCAAATCTTGGATTTTGTTTATATTCTCTATAGAAAACCCTGGTTCAACAGGAGGACCTCTCATGGTAAGTAGACTTATTTGCAGCTCTAACTGCAAATCCTCATCCCCTCTGGTCGTAGTTAAACAATTGGACCCTTTGTTTCTGCAGCACAATGGCCGCAGCAGTAGCGGAAACACCAGAGGAGGAGTAATGATTCGCAAGAGACGCCCCAACTGGATCGATGCCCCCGATGACAGCTTCTTCCTCGTCACCCGGGAGACCAGGTAAGCAAAGGTGACCCTTATTGACACATGATTGACTTTACTCTGTGTTTGTGTGTGTGTGTGAATGGAAAGTAGCTCTCAGAGTGAGAACAGATAAGCAGCGTCAAAAAGAAAAGGGTTTTGGATTTTATGCAAGAAACCAAAAATTCAAAATATGTTTAAAGTTTTTCCACCTTGAAAACATAATTCAATGGAATCACTCATTTATGAAATGAAAAATATACAACCAAAAACAACTAAACTATCTTAGATGGATAACTGTGCACTATTAATGTAGGACCTTATTGAAGCATCTGTTGATTCCAAAAAAACATGAGATCTTCTCCAGTTGGAGTCATTCATGATCCCACTTTTTGACTTGCTGATATTTGCTCGCTCTACCTCAAAATGTTCTCTAAGTTTCTCTTACAGTGAGGACTTCAGTTGTCCACACCCCTCTGCAGGTCAACTCAGACATATTTTAATTTAGTTCTGGACACCAAAAAGTAAATTTTTACCTCTTATTAACATACTTCCCAGTTGATTTAGACTAAATCATGGAGTCATCATGATGCAGAAAAATAGAAACTCATCATCTTCTTTGCTCAAAATTTAATTCATTGTGAGGTGGCCTTTCTAAGGATAGATAATACAGTTGTTGGGCTGTTTGCCAAATTAGCTCCGGTGGGCGGGATATTAAAGTTTTATTAAGCTATAACCTACTCATCTGCAAGGTTTAAACATTTTACCCAGACTGGAATTATTTAAATTATTTTCATCCCTAGTCCTTAGTCTAGTCCCCTTGTTTGTATTTCTCTATCACATAAAATTACCAAAATAATACATACAAGTTTTTGAGAAAAAACTAAAAGTGAAATTAATATACATTATTAATCCACTGCAAAAACGTTCTAGAAATAC